GCTCCTGCGCTCCCAGCGCCGCACTCTCCCGAGTGCGCCACAGGCTTGGCCCTATAACTCCTTTTTAAAGTGAACTATTAAAATAGCTGTGCTAATATGTTAGTGTTTAGGTACCTGCCTCCATTTGGCCCTTGATGAGGCAGTGTGTATGTCGTGGCTGATGGCGTGGACTTGAACCCCACGCTCACTCCTGTGTGACCCTAGAGAAGTTACGTAAACTCCGAGCCCCGGTTTTCTCTTCTGCTAAAGGGGAATGTTGAGAACTGAGTGAATGAGAAAAATGAGTTAATATAATTAAAGTGTACAGTAATAATAGGAAGTGCTGTTGCTGTTTCCAAAGCTTAGATTTATAATCAGGTGAATTTCTTCTGTATTCAGTATTGCAGAAACTTGGAAAAACTGTTTGGATGGCGCAACAGATTTTAAAGAGGTATGCAATTAGTAAAGCCAATGATTCACTGGGCTTGTGGTTTCTAACTGCTTTAAAAAAATGTTTGTTGCTGTTTTTTTCCCCCTGAAACTTTCAGTTGATTCCAGAATTCTATGGTGACGATGTCAGCTTTTTAGTCAATAGCCTGAAGTTGGATTTGGGAAAGAGACAAGGAGGGCAGATGGTTGATGACGTGGAACTTCCCCCTTGGGCCCTGAGTGAGTACCGTCCAGCATGTATTGTGTTATGCACATTCTGTACCCACAGTGCAATTGCAGTATCATTAATTATTTGGTTGCTTAGATTTTTAAAAACAACAATATAATTCTCTGTCAAAATGAGGCAATATCACCTCTATTCCAAATCAGAAGTATTCTCTGAGTCTGTGATGTAAAGACATTCATATGTATTCTGAGACCTAAATGTTGTGAAAATGATTCTTGCCACTTTTTTTCTGAAAAAAACTTATATTTCATATGATGGGGGAAAAAAACCTTGAGAAATATGTACCTCTTGCCTATCTTAATTGCTTTATCTACATATGAATAGACAGAATAAATGGGAGAAAAGAAAATGAAGACTCTGATTTCTTGATTGAGTCTAATCTGATAGGTCCCGAGGACTTTCTCCAGAAGAGCAAAGAGGCACTGGAAAGCCATTATGTGTCCGAGCA